TGTTTTTATGGTTAGTTAGGAAATGGTCAATTCTATCTCTGTTCTTTCAGCCAGAACATTGCGAATGAGTTTTTCATGGATACAAAGTGCCCAGATCCAGTTCTTGCTGTTAGCCTAGACCCTCTTATCAACCATGACATTTTTTACACCTAAACCAGCCAAAGTCATTGTGAACAGAAAAACTGGCTGATGAAAGGTTGTAGGAATCCCGCTGAAGCACAATTGTCCAAGACCAGATCTGAACATGAGGTCACTTCTTTCCCTTGATCTTGAGTTGAAAATTTGAAAATAATAACATCTCGCCTAATGCATTAAAGTATTACTTAGTATAATTAGATACTGTTCACTTAGAAAAATACAGAACTTTGACAGTAGAAGGTGTTGAATGTGATATTTTTTGGTTCTAAAGTGGTTCTTTTGTTTTGTTTGATATTATTTCATTAATCGTCTCTTTGGATACCATACATGTGAAGGCCAAAAGGTGAAAAATACACTAGAAGGAACATACATTCTTGGTAGTAAATGTATTTCATATCCTCTGCATTTGAGGCATGTTATATTAATATTAATGAAACCCTTTGTATTGACTATAGCGACCCCATATTTACTTAAAACCTCCTTCTAACAAAGACTATATTGTGTCACCTACTGCATGGATGCTCTGGTTTAAAAGTAAAAAGTCCAAAAGACGACATGATTACTGGTGGTCATATATTAATGAAATCCATTTTGACTGTCACTCTGTAGAGCATTTGCTTGGTCGGAGCCTATAAATACCATAGTCTGTAGTTGAGTTGTTAAATGTAAGGCTCCATAAAGCTGGTTTTCAAATACAGTCAATAGATCTTATTTGAGCAATGGCCATCAGTACCACTTGAAGTGAGTGCACGGGTCTTAGAAAGTCAATGAAAGCAATTAGTCCGATAAGTTGAGGGATATTGCACTTAAACATAAGTAAAAATGCTGTATTTGCCGAGTGTAAATATTATTAGTTATGTCTTCATTCCTGTCCCCAAATATTTTAAAAATAGTTTAAAATGCTTTTTGATAAATGTGGCACAACTGGTACGGCCCAAACTTATTTGAAGTCGGTACTTATTAATTGAATCTAAGTGGTGTTTAGACAGGCAATTTAAATCCTTTAATTTCAATTACAGAAATGAAATGGCGCTCATTATAGCCTTGTGATCGAAGGCAGGGGTATTACAAACTGGGTTCGCTTTGGCTTTTGTCAGATGCGCTTCATATGCTAATTTTGTGGCTTTTAAAATGAGGATTGTAAAACCATGCCCCCCCCCTGCTCTTGTTCTTATTTAGCAAATTAAAGAAACGCGTCTGGCTTGGGAATGTCATTTATTTGTTTGCATGAATAAGATTGCACTTATTCATTCATTTTAAGAGCTATATAAGAATTTCTTATTACCTGCCTACATTGTTGCCTATTCTGGTACCAAAATAGAATTTCTAATGGCGGTTTGTACATTAACCCAGTTGTAATTCTGTTCCATTGCTGGGTGTACATTTACCAAAGTGTGACCTTGGGCAAGACCTGCAGTCACAGTGCAAAGTGAAATGAAGCACTGCTCCCGTTTTCCTCCCCTCCTTTGGAAGTTAAAAATACTGTGCATGGCTTTCCTGCAATTTTGCACATTTGAGTTAGCGCCCTACACAGCGGATGCCCTTAATAAAATGACAACAGTAATTTAGTTTTGTCATTCGAACTGGCACCAGCTACATGGCTCAAAAATACAGTATTAAAGTAGTTGAATGTGTGTCGAGTCTAATTCTTTTTTCTATTTTCCAGAGAGCTGCTTTTCCATTAACTTTGGGAAAACACAGTGGCAGATTCATTTAAAACGAGCTCAGCTCCACCCTTCATATAAGTGGCTCAGCCTGTGAAAATAAGAAATTAAGATCAAGGGACATTTTTTCATTAGCCCGTCATTTAGCTATTTGCATTCCTTAGACTGCCTTGCTAAACAACCGCAACTGTGATATAACTCATCTCAAGGAGGCTTAAGGCGCTTACCTTAGCATATGCTAACTATTACAAGATGGCTTGATGGAAACATATTAAAATTACTGGTAATTGACATAAAATATGACAAAGTGTTTTAGGCTTTCTGAGCAAAGCAACACACATTACAGAGGAGCAGCCCCATAATGTAACTGATTAATGAAGGATTGCTTAGGCACACGCAGCTGATTTTATGAAAAATGAATTCTTTGTTGTCATTCCGACAACCCAGCAACCGCAGCCGGAAAAGACTATTAGCCAGAATCATTATCAATAGCGATATTTTCAAACTCTATTATGGCAATCAGGCTGGAATTTATTCAATAGATTTAGTTCATTTGGTGGTAATTGATAAATAATCAAAATTTATCAATGTACTTGCACACATTTCACTAACAATCAAGCAAAAGTGGCCCATTTACCACCTGACTTGGTCCAAATTAGAACTAAATTGATGATCAATTAATCTTAGAAGGGGCAGTGTTGTATTTTGTGGAGGAGCAGCAGCAAAAGTGGCAAATAAATGGAGTAAAGACAGGAGATTAGTGGAATGAGCAGAAAGGAGCTGAACCGCCACGGATCGCAGCTAATGAGCATGCAGCTGGGTTGCAAATTGGCAGATTTATAGCATCAGTATAAAAACTAAAGACAGAACAGTGGCAAGCTAGAGTTTCAGAACTGATACGAACCCGTGACTGAAAAAAGATAGGGAATTAAGACCGATTTTCTGACCACCTTCCCCTCTGAGGAAGATGGGGGGACTTGCGCTGATTCAGTCTGTGCATTTCTGACATTTTTGGATCCTGAAAATTAAAATGCATGGAATTGGACTGTGTGACTGGCACTCTCTTCCAAAGGAAGTCTCTTACTCCTCTGTTTTAGAAGCCAGGTGAGTTTCTGTAGTCAGTAGTTTTGAGTAAATTACAAGTACAATGTATAGGTTTAATCGCTTAAATCTTTAAAGGTGTGTATGTTGCTGTTGAAGTTCAACTCGTAATGGAAATAAGAACAGTAAAAATCAAAAGTGCTGGGCGGAGTCCCATATAGAGAGTGCGTACCAGATGTCAGTCATTAAATTAGTGGCGCCTGAACTCATTTGTGCCCCTTATTTCATTAAGTGTTTTTGTTTTCTGTTACATTTTGTAAAACACTTTTCTTGAGCATCTAAGATGTTCCAGTAATAAAAGTTAAGCGAATAGTGATATAGCTTTTGCACTGGAATTAATTTGGTTCATATTTGTATTTTCTCTTGACCTTCAGGTTTGGGTAACTGTGGACACTGATAACTTTTTAAAGTGTTTTTGGATTGCTTTAAAAATCTGGGGAAATAGATTTGCTGTTGTATTTTTGTTGTAGTCTAATGGACATTTCAATAATGCCATCAGGTGATAAACACCATTTTCTTATATGGAAGTATGAGAATAATTTATTTTTTGTCTTGTTTGAAGAGAGGTAATTTAAAATAAATATTTCCATATGATATTAATCCTTGCTATGTAAAAATTCAGCATACAAAAAATAGGCACTGCTCGAAAGGTTAAATAGTTTTTAGTCTGGTGTTTGCAGTTCTTCTTGACCATGTTGATGAACAACTAACAATCAGGCCTTAACCCTTCAGTAACTATGAATTATTGTATTGTGATATTTTCAATGGCTCTTTTTAGAGTACTTTTTTCCCACTTTTAAAGTATCCCAAATTTATTTTTGACTGAGAATATAACTTACCATAATTTATAAAAAAACATCATATGGCACAGATGACATTGTATGATTTACACATTAGATTTTATTAATTTCATATTATTAATTCAAATGTATTACGGAGATGGTGCAAAGAACAGCAGCCAATTACATGCCTGAATTTAAAGGGTTATCCTAATCCAAAAAACATCTTTTATAGTCTCAGTCAGAGCCATTTGCGAGGGACCCTGATTCAGTATGTAAAATCCTCAAACTCCCTGGCAAAGGTAACCCTTTGAATGTCAAGCAGTTTGGAATCAAGAGTAAAATTCAAAGTAAAGAACACATATGACCTAGAGGATTTTAAAGTGTGTTTAGAAATCAGAACAGGAGGCACGTCTAAACACAAATGGTTGTAGGGGTGTGGAACAAGATACCCAGCCATGTTGTCAAAGCCTGTAGATCACTCCTTTCAAACTTGCTAAATAAGATCCTTGAATCATTTAGCTTATAAAAAGGAACTACAGTGGATTTGTTGAATGGGCTCCTCTTGTGTTCAGACCTTCTTATATTGTTGTGCTACTCCAGGATGAGAATAGTTCTGTGCTGTGGGGGAATGAAAAAGTGGTAGTGCAATCATCTCTATTTCTGTTTGACTTTAGTAAAACTCCTTAAAAAATGCCCTAAAAAAATCTATCAGTTAGCTACGTTCCTTAAACTTTCTAGTATGTCCAGTATCTACATCTCTACCACAGAATGGCAGATCTTTCCTTTTCTAGTCAGTCTAAAACTGCTGTTTCTCTTCCCACAATGAAATCGGCTGATCTCAGGAACATGTTGGAAATACAACGCAGCTAGCTCACTGTGCTGTAAGATATTAAGTTTTTATCAGTTGTTATATGTACCTTTAACATTTCTGTAACAGGAAAAGTCTGTGTACTGTATTTGTGCTAAACCTTTTTAGTTACACAATTGATCTGCAGTACCCACAGTACTTCTTCTATATTTTTGGTTTTTAGCCTATAGTTTTGTCAGTAGAGACACACATTGCCCAAATCATATGCAGATGACGTTTTTCATTTAAACTCTAAACATGGAAAAAGAACATTTTTTTTTTACTATTTATTGAGAGGTTTTCTGTAGATGTTATTATATGTTGTAGTTGTGCCATGGGTGAAACTTTATCCATAGATTTAAAAAAGGTAATGTACCCAGTTTATTCAGGAGCAGAGTAAATTCGAACATGTTTCTGAAGTTCCTTTTTTTTTACAAAATAATAATGGCCTTCCACCCTGTTTTTCAGACTAGCAAAAGAAGAGGTTCTTTATGTTAAAGAAGCCAAGCAACAAGAAGAAAAAATCGAGCGAATGAAAGCTGAAGGGGGTGACGAATATGTAATTAAGAAACAGGTAGGCACTGAACCACTTATTATATCTATGTAGCAGAGAATGTGATGTTAGGACTTTACTAAACCATTACGCATAGTTTACACGGTTCTGTGCAGTGTTGTACTGTACTTGGAAGTCAGTCTCTTCTAAACATATAAGGTCATGTTTATCTTTAAGTTTTTCACATTTTATATTTTTGGTTCTAATTGATAATTCCACTTTTTGAAAGTGACAGTCTTCTTTATTATAAAATTAGAGGGAGTGTCACTCATTAAGTCTTGGAAATAAATCTGTATATCAGAGAATAGCTCTGCTGGTGCTAATTGATAACAGAAGATACTACTGTGACTGGGAAACTACACAATGGAAATGTAATGATACATGGTAAATCTGTAAATCATATTGATTCTAGATCTCTTTAATGAACATTTCTAGCAGTTTGACAACATGGGGAGATTGCAAGTTGATACAAAAATAAAGTGCATTTAGAAGACATAAAAAGAGGTTAAAAAATGCTAATATTATTAGAAAAATGTAATTGCTTTACCAACATGCTGGCTAGTGGGTACAAACAGGAACTTAAGTATACCATTTGAAAAGAGAGGACAAAACAACGTAAGTACTAATCTTTATTGACCAACAAAGGTGTAAACGTGTGATATGGGAAAACCAATTTGAATTGATTGGTGATAATTACCATAAAGGAAAGGGACCATTAAATAGAAGATAGTTAAAATAATACTATACATTTCAACAACAAATATTCAAATGAATTAGTGGAGGTTAACACCAAATAGCATAATAGAGCCAGAATAAAACTAGGTCACATAATTGGCCTCTTCAATGTTTCATTCATTAAATTGGTAATGTCAAATAAACCCTGCCTTGGAGGTCTAAGTTTGAATTTCTTGTTACCTTAACTACAAGTTATACAACAGATTGTGTTTAATTTGCTAGTAATATGATTTGATGCACCTGTATTGCCATTTTCTCTGTTTAAAACTGAAAGAAGCTATTTGCTCCAGAGAGCTGGCAGTTGTTTGCTCCTTATTGATATGTTAAAGTCATATTAAATTTAGCATAACATGAGGTGCTGTAAGGTCAGTTCTGTTCATAAGCCACTTACATTATTACTGTTGTAATGCTTTCAGGGTGCATTTGTTTCTTTCCTACCACAACAACAATTTTTGATTAATATAATTGAATGGAATTGGCATTTTAAGACTTTCGAGCATTCTTATCACCTGTCTTTAACCATATAATACAAAAGCACATTTGCTTTGTGTCATTATTAAGTTCTTATTTGCTGTAATTTGTGGTAAGTTATCGTATCATGTAAGGAATTTTCGTGAAATGTTTAAGAACTTTTATAAAATAGAAATGTAGCAAACATTTTGCTTTGTACAGATTTGTGAGGAGGATATCAGACAGGTTTAAGTTCAGTACCATGAAGGTTAGTAATTTGTTCTAGCGCTCCTCTTTCTTTATGACCTAGAAAGTGATATTTATCCATTGTACGAGGTCAGAGAAACAGAACAGTCTTTTCAGATTTGCTAATGAGTTTAATTACATTGTATAACTTTCAAGAAATTTTATGATTAGTAACACATGTTGCCAATTTAGAGCCACTCAGAGTGACCGCTGACCCAAGTCCTCCTTCGTTTCAGGTTGTCATTCTCTCAGCACTGCATATGAATGACAGCCAGAATGAAGCATGAGCTAGCCTTTGTCCCTGTCTTCAGTGCCTCTGTGCTTAAACTCCAAAGTGAATGTTCTAATAATTTTGCAAAATAAAATCTCCATACAGAATCTGTTACTTATTGATTTTAGTCTTAAAGTCCCCAAAAAACTGCATAAGCCTGGTTATCACCGTTCAAATGGTTTGCTTTATATTTAAAAAATTCAAGGTAGCACAAAAGTTTGTATCCTAGAAGGAGGTTAAATACACTGCAAAGATGCTATCTTCACAGAATGCTTAGAGGGGTAGGAGAGGCAAAGGTAAAGTTATATTTTCATATAAAATGCTGTTTTATAGTACAACAACATTGTTTTTAAAGGTATAGGCTATGTTATGTAGGAGGCAACAGTGAGATTTGTGTGATAAGCAGTTAGCCATCTACTCTATGTACAGTGCCCTGAAATACTATTCACTGCCTTCCAGTTATGTCCCATTTTGTTGAATTACAAATAATGTAGACCCGTACACATTTTTTAAAGTGAATCTTTTAAGAAAAACTTGAATGTTCAAACTGAACACTTATATATGAAAGAAGTTTAATGTCATCAGAAACTGCAAATAGTAATCAACACTAAAATATGTTGCTCAGTCCCTTTGGTCCATCTATCTTATTTGATTGTTAGTACCTCATTAATCTGAGAATCTCTAGAAAGAAGTGTTTCTTTATGTAGAAAGACATTTTTCTCTGTAATCTGAGAAGTGTTTCTAGAAAGAAGCCAGGATATCGCCTTTACAACAGGGTGGGTTGTAGCAATATGGTACAAACTACCATTTATGTTTCAAATTTGTTTTAAAATAGTTGTAAATGTGTCTCCACATAAATGTCTTTTTTTTCAAGCTCAGTGTTTCCCCCTTTTATATCTGTTTTTACTATCTGCATGTAATATTCTGATGTGCCATATGTTGGGTCAATTTTGAATTCTAAATCTTTGATTTTCTTTTGTAATTTCAATGTTTCCTTATTATTCCACTTTGCTGTCATTTTTAAACTTGATTAAATTAGTTTAGCAACTAAACCAGAATTCAAAAAGATTTATATAACTTGGGAACAGCAATGGTCCTAATATAGATTCCTGTGGTACTCCAGTAATTACATCCTTCCAGTTTTGCACTCACATTTGCCCTAATCTGTAGTCTTTTCTGCCAGGTTGGTTATTCTCAAATCAAACACGTGCGGTACCTTGAAATTCTGCTTTTAGTTGGAAATTAATGTTTTATGAGAAATGTAAAAATTCACAAACCTTCTGAATCTAAATATACCATGTTGCATCTTCTGTGCTTGCTCAATACTATTGTCATTTGTTCAGAGACCTCTGCACACGACTTATTTCTTCTAAAATCCTGTTTCCATCTAGAGTACCATCTAGTTTGAATTATTTCCATTGCCTTACATGTAAAGAAGCCATATTTGTCTATAATTACCTGGGTCATGTACGTCACTCTTTTTATGGATAAACCCTTGCTACATAAGCAGTTTTCCAGTCAGTGGGTAGTTATAACAGTTTTAAGAATGTTGTTTCTTGAATTTCATGTAATGTTATTACTAGTGTCCAAGTACTATTAGTTCACCATACATGTGCCAGATAATACAATTAAAAGTTAAACAAGATACAGCTTTAATAGTAATGCATTTTTCTACTTCCTGAAAACAAATACATTTTAACAAACAATCTGTGCTGAAAAGGTAAGTAAACCCATTGTGATAACATTCAAAATAAAAGCCCTCAAAAGTGTTTTAAAGGTTTTTGCATACACCTTGAAAACTGCTGACGTTTTTTTAAGTAGACACTGAAAACTGCTCAAGCCTATATTTTATGCTGTGTTCCTTAACATTTTGTCTTTGTCCCTTGGTTAAGTTTAGATGTTTCTGGCTGTGAAATAGCAACCAGTTCCAGTGAATTACCAACACTTGAGACAGATATAGGAGAGTATGATTTTGTGCCACAAAAGACTGATCACTCTGTAGTGATAGAGTAGTAATACAGATTCTATTGTAAAGGACATAACCTTTGGACAAGTGCCTTTTAGGGGTATGTACACAGAAAAGCTAATGTGAGATCAGTACTCCTATACAGCATGTGAGCTGGCAGTGTTGTCAGCCAGAGCTCCATCTTTCCTTCCGTTCATGTTCACAGTGGCACTTGGAAGTGGAAAATGGCAGATGGATCTGACAATGTGCTTTTTGGAATAGTGTGTTTATAGTTTTCGTCCATGTTTGGTAAGTATGAGAATCACCACATTAGATTAATAATTGTTAGTTCCAAACAGAGGCTATAGATAAAATCAGTTTCTAATTTTACAAAAAAAGTGTACAGTCTATTACATGCATATTATTTGTGGTGTAGATTATTGGATATGTAATTTTTCATTGGCTGGTTTGGGAAATCTTATAGCCCTGTTGCAGAAGGTGGTGTTATTTTCAGCAGGCACTTCACGTTTTTTCAATAAAAATTGGAACTTGCACTTTTAAAAGAATTATGGTTTCGTATTTTAAATAAATTCATGGCAATTTATTACAATCAGTTAGACATTTAAGGCGGATTGCTAAGGTTTATTAGAAAAGAGGGTCAACCCTTATAAATATTGCAGCATATTGCAGCTAATGCAAAACAGATGTATAAAAAGCAAAATATATTGTATTAATTGGAAGGGGGAGGGGATTGTTAGTGAATTAATTTCTTGGCACTCCAGTGTTTTCCTAGTTCATATTAAGTTCTGAATGTTAGATTTGTGGTCCTCAGTTGCACTGTGCATTGTAATTCCTTTCTCAGACACCACTCACATTTATACTGTACATTTCAGACTGTGATCTTTAATGATGCCCCTTTTCAGCTTTACAAGAAAGGAATTGTAAAAAATCTCAAATTACTGATCATACAAGGGCTGCGGCAGTGCTTGTGATCTTACTACATTATGTTGAACTAAACAGAAGCCATTTTGGACTGTGCAGCATTAGCCCCATATATATACTTAGAAATGGGTTATTATTAAAGAGTTTTCTGTAGGATGATGATTTGAAAATGTACTTAAATACATGCATGATCATTCAAAGAATAGCTTTGAAGTTGAAAAAAGGGAAACATCTGTAATGTTTCATCTTGTGAGCACCATAACCAACAAAGGATGCCGTCATAGGAAGATGTTTTGTAAGCCCTTATTATTAACGCTGAGCTTGCGGTTTTTGTGATGTAGTGAGGGTAGTGTTTTAGACATGTGATTCTAAAATTGTGCATGCAAACTTCTGACTTATTGTACCCTGATGTTACATAAGATGAGCAACAACAGATTTCTAAATTGATTTAAGTTTTAATTTTCTCATGTTAAGAGGTTGAGACCAAAAATATTGATGTTAAAAACTTAAGTTGTGGGGTTAGGAGTAGGGTTAAATTGTGATCAAGGTTTTCATTTGAGAGAATCAATATTTTATTACAGCTTTCCTTATCCAGTAGTGATGGGATCATTCCAAGGTATTGAAAAGGTTATCTGTATTTCAGTTGTTTGTGTGTCCATTAGTTTAGTACCACTCTGAAACTCATCTTACTTCATCCAGAGAATCAGCACTTGCATACTGATTATTGCTATTCCCCACAGATGTTATATGTATTTTGATACTTACAACCAATATAACTAAATTAAATAACACTACTATGAGTATAGTGAGTATAAATATATAGCTGGGATCATAGAACAAAGCTTTATTTTCATCATATGTTGTAATATGCCTTGGCACACTTTTTTGGCAAAATATTTTAGCACACACTTAGTTTACAATCTAAACTAGACAGATAGATAATACTTTATTAATCCCATAGGGAAATTGATGTGTTATAGCAGTCCAGCCCAAGACAAGCAAAACAGACATCAGAATAGTTATAAATCAAAAGACAAACAAAATAAATAAAAATAATGTATTTTATTTTAATTTTAAATGAAAACATACTATACCTTGTATGTTTTCATTTTAATTATTAAAAGAATTAAAGAAAGTTTATCAATTTCTTTTCTACATGATTATAATTCCATAACTGATGGTCACACTGTAGTGTTAGTTTAAAGTATTTCCTTGCTGTAAAAAGCCATGAAGCATCTTTGTACTGTATCTGCTTAGTGTATTGTGAACTTTGACAATGACTTCTTTCCCATTTTCTTAGATGGTTGTCTTCACCGGTTCATATAGCCTGTTAAGGTCACAGTCTTTCATGTATCATGCCATCCAGTTCCACGTCTGACAATCTGTAAATTTAATAGACAGTTGTAATAGAAACAAATGACAGAAAAATTCTGCTGCCTTTTTTTGCTGACATCTCAGTACTGTTGGAAGCCGCAAAAATGCATATTGTGTGCAAGAGTGTAAATGTGCTTTAAGCTCCTCACTAAAAATGTTGACATCTTGCAATGCAAAAGAGCTCAGCAAAGCAACCTATCCCTAACATAACTAATATGTTAATGAAATCATCTTAGTCCTGCAAATGTGCTTAGTTCTGGATAGGTTTACCAAAATGATGGATCCTCCTAGGTTTTGGAAAAATGTATGTTTGGTTGCAGTCACTTTCAGAGTTTTATCGTAATTGAAATATTAGGTCTTCACCACCATTCGCCGTTTTTTTTCTTCTCTTGGTTTTGTATATATATATAAAAAATGAATTATTTTATAGTTCTTCCCGCTTGTCCATCAGTCAACATCCACTTTGTTGGTGCTGGTTAGGTATTATTGCAAAGCTAATTTTCCTGAGATGTGTAGGCTGGAAATAAGGTTTGGAAAAGGTCATTATTTATTATAATTACTAATATTTAAAATGGTTATCCACACTGCCAACACTCAACTTTTAATTTAATGGAGAAGAAACCAGTTGATATTTTAAAAAAAAAAACTAGTCCTTTTTCATTAATCATATATGTAATTTACTTCTCATGAGTGTCTAGGATGAGGTCTTCATTAATGTGAAGAAACAAGCCCAACATCTTTGACTGAATATGACCTTTTTTTACTCCCATACTCTGCCTACGCCTCTTGTTACAGTGCTTGTCAGTAAACATCTCATTTCCAGAAATCTTACTTCTTAAAATAACTGTGCCAATTACATTTGCATTTACGTAATTTAACAATTTATTAAATATGAACTGTGTTCAGTTACAAGGCTGCAGAAAGCTGCAATAGTTAACAAGAACTGTCTAGGTAATTTCTGTGTCTGATCATGCTGGTCAAGACCTTGCTTCTCAAGCAGGGTGCCAGCTTGGTAATTCCATTCTATGCGGTTGGTGAGAATAATATCAGCCCTAACACATTGTGCAAGGTTGAGTAATAACTTTTTATGCATGATAAGCATCAGGAATATGAGCCTGCTGATCTCTGCTTTCCATTTCTATAGACTTTTGTTTTTTAGATGGAGTCTCCTGCAGCGCGCTCCCAGTTTGATCAATAACTCAATAACATTTTTCATGCAGTAATTATCTGTGTGATATTATCCGAGCACAGTGTTTCTTTATTACCCAAAAGCAACTGGATATATAGAGAGCTGAATGTGGCTTCTTTTCATTATTAAATTAACAATAGCATGCCATGCTGTTAAAAATAGACCTAAAGAAATCCATGTTTTATTTTGGTTTGTAAATTTTGGCATCCTGTTTTGTCCATTGACTAATCAAGCCCATTTTTCATTACAGCACCTTTGTACTTACAGTAGTTTATGCTGGAAGGTAAATTTCTGTGCAATTTAAGTGTCCTCAGCTACTTAAATCCAAGTCCACGGAAAAACATCTTCGAAGAAATGAGGCAATTTGAAGCATCATCTAATGCAGACCACATGGGTTACTTCTGGTGACCTGAAAGTTTCAGAATCTTTTTAACATTAAAGACCAGAAAATAATATTTTGTAGATTTGTCCTCAGTTCATGACATTGATGACAGTTTAAAAGCTAAACTGGGATAAAAATCTGCCGATGCAGTGGCTGCAGCTCTTGTCTGGGAGTTGTAGACGTACGATCCTTTGAACATTAATATGTTTGTATGAACTGCCCTTTTGAACTCCTCATGGAAAAGCGACAATCTCTTGCTACCAGTGACACTCTTCCGTAGCACGTGTGTACTTTGTGTTGCAGTGAACAACATTTCTCATTTTAACCGATGCTATCTCATGTGTGAATGCAAAATATTACATTTCTCCTCTGTCCCATTCACATGGATTGAAATGTTGGATTTATTTGTTGAAATAGCACTTGGCTTTTTAACAGTGGCCTGGAGTTTGTACTGTATATGACAATATGGCATTACTCTGAAGTGTGGTAATATGAACTGTCCAATAAAAAGGACCTTTGAAAAGCAGTAGCTGAATTGGGTTTATTATTTTTTTACAGTGCTGCCCTTGTTTCCCAGGACTCGTGCAGTGTAAATGTGTAATTTTTCTTTCCTTTGTAAAGGTCACACTATTGCATATAATGGTGGCACACATGATTTGAGAAGAGCAGAAAGTTGGATAAGTATGCAGAGAATATTTCTAGCATTTCTCTGAAAATAATGCTTTGATGGAAAACTAAACGCGACTGTTGCTTAGTGACAAGATCATGCACCTTAAAATGTTCTCGTACAGTTGGCAATCACCCAGGAGTAATCTGGAACTAGCAGGCACCAAGAATCATGCAGAAGTAGCCATGAAGGAAATTGTCATGCTTCCTTTTTCATAGTCAGAATTGTCAAGGGCTGGCATGTATCAGAAGGACTTCTGAAATAATAAAAGGATACAATCAGTATTTTTTTAATAAAAAGCCTGAGTATTATACTCAATCAGTACAGTGCAGATAATATGGAAATAATTCAAAACATCTGCTTTACATTTCTCTGTAAGTGACATTTCGTAATAATTTTATTAAGATCGGGTTTATTGCTAAATCATTTCTGAACTTTGTTCAGAATAAATGGTCTCTGTTGCAGTGAGTGATATGGCTTCATGCTTTTGGACAAATTCTTACTTATATAGGAAAAAACATTTTATTTTAATAATGACCTTATCTTTAAGCAGTGATGTAACAGTTTGAAAGCTGTATAAGAACTTTCGTCTCTATTTTTTTTTTTCATTTTCCAGTTCAAATTATAGCAGAAATTGCGAACACAGCGCAACAGGGAAGGGATTCATTTTGGCTCTCATTGCACATTTCTCCTTCTAACGGCCTGTTGGACATGTTTGTGTTTGACTTTGCAGACAGAAGTCCTGCAGGAGTCCCGAATGATGGTTCCAGATTGTCACCGTCGCCTGGCAGTGGCTCATGCAGAGCTCGCTCAGTTATTAGTAAGTTTACCTTCCCGTGCCCTCTTCAATTAAATGTAACTGTTTCTATCGATATTTAGAATCATTACGTCCAGGAAAAATGTGTGGGTCCTTGGTTAATCTACATTGCCACACAGTACGTCTTAAAAACAACAGATGTGCCTTAAAATGTATTTGTAAATCTACTGTTTGATTTACCTCTGCTGTTATGCCATATACCATTCGCAGTGGTACCAACAGCATCTAGAGATTCCTTCTACGGTAATTTCACTGTTTTCTAAAGGTTTTGTTTTGTTCGGTGCTGTTATGTTTGTATACAATTCCAGGCACTGTGGCAGTCACAGTTTTAGCCTGGTTACAGATGGTGAGGGGAGTAGCTAAGGAGCACTTGCATTCTGCACTATAGCATCAAATGATGTTGCAGATTTTTTTTTAGTGACTGCATCTGTCAGTGTTGGCATTGATATCTTGGTTTCAAGGCTAGATTTCCTAAAACACTCTTTGTAGTGCTGCTTACTGATTACCTAATTTGAAGTATGCATGACTCATTGTTTGTCGTACTCCTGTAGTTCCACTGTAGGTTAATTTCCAAAAATTAAATTGCGAGGGGCAGGTATGGACTGAACAATTAGAATATTAGGGAAGTATATTCATTATATATTCAGTGTAAGATATTAATAGTAATATTTAAGTACTGTTTATAAACATGTTAATATTCAGGTTTTCAGGAAGTTTTGTTGTTTTCATAACTGTTTTGTAAACCTTAATGTGCACATAAACTGAAGAGGGAATTATCCCCCGATTTTAAAGATTGTTTAAACAATTTTCAAGAGGACCATTAGAATTCTTAAATCGGAGTTTATGGTATTTCACTTAAGAATATAGACGATTCAGATCTTAATGATCAAGTGAGCAAAAAGAAATGAACGATGTTACTAATTGTGAAATGAAGGAAAAACTGAAGCATCACAACAATTAAAGCAAAAACAGAAGAACACTTGGGAGTCATGACAGTAAATTAAAAGACCTAAAAGGATTGTATTTGTTGGTATGCAATAATTTTTTATTCGAAAGATTCAATGCAATTTGATAATAATATAATTAATTGTCATAGCAGGTGACCAAAATGCCACGTGTGCACTGTTCGTTGAAATTAGTAATTGACTTGGGTTCCCAAATGGCTCACAGTAAAGTCACTTGCTCCAAATCTAGCTTGATCTCTGTGCGCCTTTTCATACTGGATACGCTTGCAAATGAAGCAAGTGTAGTGCACTTATCAAGTATACTCAGAACGTTCCAGGGAAAATGTCCTCAGATCATTTCTCTTTCACACTGAAAGTATATTAAGTACTCATAGAAATGTACTCAATAAATTATTGATTTTTAAAACTTTTCGGGAACATTTTCTTTCACACTACACATTTGCAATAGCATTGATGATTGCATTTTACTTCAAGATTTCTTCCAATTAAGTTCAGAAAGAAACTGAATACAGAATTGTGAACAAGCCTTGTGTGCCATTCCCTCCTTAGGCCATGGGTATTGGGGTGGAGTATAAATTCTCTTTATGTGGACAATAATATATATTAGTGGGGGGTTAACGGATACCTTTGTTCTATCATGAATGATTGGGGTCCAATATAAATGTATATATTGATAAGATATTGAGGTCCAAATTAAATTCAGAGCTAAAGAATTAGGAAGTTAACCAATATGGTAGACTGGAAAGGAACAAGTAATAGGTTTATTCCATGCTGAAAAAAAACACAACGTTCCGCCTGTGTAGTCTTCTTCAGGTGTGAGCAACTGAAGAAGCCTCCACGGCCGAAACTTTGTTTTCTTTCTTCTTTTTTTCAGCATGGAATAAACCTAGTACTTGTTCCTTTGTAGCCTACGCATGCTGGCGCACCTACTCAGCTGAACTAATATGGTAGACTGTTGTGTTTCCAAAATAAGCCTTTGAATGCACTTCATTGCTTTATAGATAATAAGAGCTATCCCTGTAAGCTGCAGTGCTAAGCGTAAAAGTAGGATATATTATAAAATTGTCTTGGTACAATATAGTGGTTAATCTAATGCCAGTTCACAGCAGACACACAAATGGCAAATGGACAATTTGCTTAATAGTTTAGTCATTGTAAATAGCCAGACATAAAGTCCTGAGGTTTCAATTGTGTAGAGGTCTTCAGACAACAATCAGGCTTTTACATTTTGAATGCAGTAATATAATTATTTCTGTTCTGGATTTAACCTTTAAATATTTTAAATTTTGGAAAACCATATTTATATAAATCAATATTGGCTTGTAAGATCATTTTCTAAATAATAGTAAAAGTAGGCATCATCCTACCAAATACTGCAGCATAATAATGGATTCATTGTTTTTACACTGACATTTTTTGTCTGTAGTGTTTTTTGATTACACTTCTGATTTATGAAATAAACTGAGTGTGTTGATCTATACATGTGCTGAATATTATATCTAGAGTTCAAGAGTCTCCAAAACCAGCTCTGCATTCCAGGCAAAGCATCTGTGTAGCTTCTGTATGCATGCATGCCAGGTGTTGTGGAACCCTGCACTATACTACTATTTTTTTTTAACTACAAAACTATTTTAAAAATGTGCAATAGAGGACATGTTTAGAGCAACATGCTCATTTCTGTAATCCATTTGATACATTTCGTAGACCAAATGTATATAATGCCAGAGTGCAGTAAAAAATATTCAGATATGGTTAAAAATAGTTTCATAAAAGCATATATTGGAAGTGAACCTTATGATATATCCAAATCCACAGGATAATGAGGGGTGTTATAAAATAAGGTGTAATCAGGCTCTATTAAAACTGATTTAAATTTCAGAAAGTGCCATTCTTTTCATTAATATGCGTGTTGCCTTTTTTTTACATCCTGATTCAGCCTGGTTAGTGCCCTTGAAGTCTGGCACTGGACCAGGTTGTTTTTTCATGCACCTTGAAAGTAAAAAATAATCTAACCATATCTGATACGTAAGCAGCTGTATCAAGAACACCCCTCTGGAGTCTTCTCTGAACAGTTCAATTTAATCAATTTAACGTTGCAAGTTCAGTTTGGTCTTGTCACTAGTCAACTGTGACTGGGATTCCCCAAGCGGTGGCGCACAGTTGGCTGAGTGCCACCTGGCGCAGGGCAGGGATCAGTTGGTTAGGGGTCCTGTGCCTGTAAGCTCCTGGTGAGGTCAGTGAGGGACGAACCTCTCCTCCAGCCAGTCCTGAACCCTCCTGTACAGTATATGGCTACTGGGCTAGTGCCATGTCAAAGGATGAATAGCTTGATGGGTGAGTGTTGCGATGACCTGAGATGTACACACACAACTGGCAATTCTGTGCAGAATAAATAATTGATGCGTCTAAAGTTATATAAAAAATAAATTGGTTATTAACTGGATCTAATGTCAAATCTTAAATCACTGGTATCTTTACACCAAAACATATATACAAACTGTAAATCTTAAAAAATTAGCTTTGATGGGAAATGCTGATAGAATCTCATAATAGGTGAGAAAAAAGTTGCTCCCTTTAGTTGGTTAGACGAAACCTGTACTCAAAAGATGTTTGTGATGTCATTTGTGATGCAAAAACTATAGGTCCCCGTTAGTTATGTTGATGGCGGTAATTTTATTGTCAGATGTTACGTGTTTTAGTTCATACGTAATTATGAAGAACATGGTATAACTTGCAGCACCTTCATGAAAATATCTAGGGGTATTTTTAAGAACTAAATGAAAATCTAGAAGAACAAAATAAAAATGTGAAGTTCAATATAAATGCTGATGTTAAGCATGTTGTTCTTTTCCTTAGCAAGCTGTATAGAGAAATTATTCAATCTGTATATGCCTTAGATTCTTCAGCCTAACAGAAAACTCAAAAACTTGAAACATAAAGAACTATATATAATTCTGTAAATCATATACTAGCAGAAGCTATCTAGACTTCAAAAATCTTTTTGTTTTTCATTTTCAGGAAACTGAAGCAGACCTTGCAGATTTAGAGGAATTCAAAGAGGCCAAAACTGTGCTGGATTCGGTGAAGCTAGAGGGGTGAACTGTTTTAAGTACTTCTGAAGCTGAAGTGTCCATTCCATGAAGATGAGACCTTGTTTGAAAAACAAAAAATCAAATCAGACATGATGATTTTGTTTTTGTTTTTTTAAGAATACATGTGTTAAAAATAAAATGTATGAATAAATGTTAATTTATGGTTAATGTTCTTATTTTTTCTTGTTTTTTTTTTAATGTGCAGGATTGTAATTCTGGACATTCTTCTTCACTTCGTCTTCACTGGAATTTCCTATGTTTCAGTGTAAAAATAAGCAATTTAGCAATTTAATAACGGTTTCTTTTGCATAAATGTACTTTGACATCAATCCACAGATCTAAAAATATGGAAAATACACTTGTTGCAGAGTTTACTCCTAGAGTTAAAAGTCAATAAATTTGTATTAATTTTTTATTGACTTGGTTGCTGTAAAATCTGTTTTTTATTTAATAAGGCTAGGACTTCTTTCAGTCTAATATAGTTCATTTTTTTTTTGCTAGTTATTACTTAAATGGTTAATATCAGCAGCATATGTGGTAAAAGAACCAAGCCTATAATTGGTAGTGGTTTGTCTAGTTTTGACTCGGCAATGGTTCTGATCTTTCCAATTGACATCAGTTCTGTTTGAAGCTGAGTAGTAAGTAATTTGCCTGCCCATTGATGCCACAGTCTTGTTTATGAATAAGAAAAATTAAATGCCATTGAAATACAATAAGAAATGGCAGTATGCATATTGTTAAAGAACCTATCATTGTCCATTTAACATTGTTTGACTTGCTTATTCTTAAGAAATGAGTTCCCTGTGGAGTTTGATGGACACATTCCGAATGGCTTCTCCCCTGCCAATGGAAATGGTGGAGGAGCAAGCATGACTGCAGACACTGCTGAAATTGAATTGTTCAACATGACCTTAGTGGTGAATAGAGGCAGGGGATTTGATAGACGTGCCTGGCAATTTATGGATGTAGTTGGAAAAGGTATGCAGCATAAAGCTGTTGACTTGGGCAAGCTACAAACCTAAAGCACTGGGAAACTGGTGGTAAGGATATCGCAAAGCACAGGATTTTATTTCCACTGTATTTCTGCAGTTAAATCAAGTTTTTATTTCAGTAATTAAGATAGTAATGGAGTTGATCACATTTATCTTCATTTAATAAGCCTTAGGACTCACACAGTTCCATATTTTTGGTAAATAGGTGAAATGTGGAAAAAAAAAGATGTTACTGGGAATGACAGTGTCTTTGCTTGCTTCCTTTTGCTTAAAGGAAAATATATTATCCAAGTCAGAATGTAGTCCTAATTATGTAAATCATAAGAACACTATACAAGGTTATAGCAATCTGGTATGCTCCAAACAGATTAATTGTAAGCTTCATTTAATGTGTTTATTTCAGGATGATTGTTAAGGCTTTTCAGGACAAACTTTATCCTTGTGTATACAGAAGCTAATAGAATGAGAGAAATAGCCTTGATTCACCACAGCCAAATCCATTTGAAATAATTTTGAGAGTGAGACAGATACAAGTAATGTTCATAAATGACTATCTCACCCCACCTGTTTTAATGCTATGCATCTGAATCACATATTCTTATCCCTTTTTTGCACAAAATGGGATAAGAATCACAGGTCCCTGTTATCTGGGACCTTTTGAGGTTACAGATAACAGACATTCCTGTATTTTCTATCACTCCATTTCAAAGTTCCCATTTCATTTGGCAATCTGGAAACTGCAGTGTTTTTTGGGTGAAGTGTGTCGGTAACAATATAGTTTTATGATGGTCAGGAAAGAATGTATCACCTGTCTGACAAGAAAACTCCAGCGAGTATCGTTCTTTGAAAATAGAGATATGTGGAGCTTTTGACCAATGTGTGTGATGGGCTTGTGTTTTATAGTATCGAGTGCTTTAAAATTAGGTACCCAAAGTACATACAGTATGTGCATACTTATCCGTTCACTGTTTTTAGCTTGGTGTACCATGAATACCACTTCCTTTGTTTTTTGTCAACACAGCATTTATTTATCTTGATCTCATTGTTGAATGATGTCTTGCATTAAAAAATTGGGGAACACATTATTGATGTGTTTAATGTCTGTAAAATTCATAATCCCTCACTGTCTGAGATAACATCTAATTTAATCATTATTATATTCAAGGTCTTGGATAATTTCATTTGAAAAATTCATATATTGTTGTCCATTGTCATCTGAACCAAATTTAATCTGAATATATGACGTGCTTCAATTTGTAAAAACATTTGAAATTCCTTCCATACATTTTCACAAAGTGAGTCACCTCTTCTTGATAAGAGCCTATCATGAAAGCACAGAGGAGAAGGTGGGGACCCAGTCCATCTCAGTGCAGGCGAGCACACATACAGGAAAGGTTTAGAGACACCAGATAACCTAGCCTTCAAGTCTTTGGGAGGTGAGAGGTAAATAGAGCATTCAGTGAAAATCCCTACAAGCACAGCAACACATAAATCTTACAAAATAGGAGCCCCAGTCGAGAATCAAACCCCAAGACCTAAAAGCTGTTATCAGAACTAACCACTATTAACATGTCGCTGCTGCCCTAATTTGACAAAAAAAAATTGTGTCCTGTGTTTCATATGCAATTGAGAGATGTTTGCTGCCATAACAAAATAAGTCATTTAAGCATGAACATATTGATCAAATGTATTCACCAGTGAATGTCATGGCTATCTTAGCACTCCACAAATAGCTTATACTAGCTATAGCTGGTATATAGTTAATAGATCATAGTCTAAGGTGGGTAGATTTGTAGTCTTATTTTGTTTTCTCAAAGGTGTTTAATTTGACGTGAGGAGACAAGTTAGGCCAACAAGCCTTAGTGTTCGCTGCTCTTGGTTAAGAAAGCATGAGCACAAGAGTATGTGCACAACCACATTGGAAGGTAGCAATATTTGATAGCTTTGGAACACAGTCTGGGTGAAGACATTCATGTGACTGGCCTTTCCATTAATATGTCCTATGACACCATAAAAGATGTGTCGAGTCACCATTTTGCATGTCTCTCCAAATCATTTTCACTGAATCTCCCTGCTTTGGGATCATTCTTAATGATGCCTGTCAATGTGCAGCACTTGTTCTGCCTCATAGCAGCCTTATGCTAGTAGCGTGATCTTTATTCAAGATCACCACTGGTAGAAACTATCACAGTGACGTGTGACATGCAAAATAGTAAAACAGTGCCTAACTGAAACCTTTCAACCTCACATTACCCATGCAATGATTTGCAGTTACACATAATAAGGTTTTACCAACAAAAGGAGCTTACAGGCGTGTAACCAAGAGCATCTTTTCCTTACACCTGCTGAGCACGCTGAGCAGAAGAGTGTATCTCCTATGTAGGAGTGTATACAGTATACCTGTCTGGCCATATGGCTGGTAACGAGGAGAGTGTGGTTGGGGTGGCCTCTGCTGGAAAGCAGTGGCATTGCATCAAGGCAACACAAGTAGGACAAAAACGTAGTAGCTCGCTTCACGAGAGGGTCTGGCCCTTTTGTGAAGTCGCAAGGTTCTCACTGATGGTGTGATCCATACTGCTACGCTGTCCCTGAGCTTTATGGAGAAACCCACCAAGAAACTGGTATTAACCATAACACACATCGTCCCTGCAATTTTACAGTATAGACTAGAACAAAAATGATCTAATTTTTAGAAGGACACATTACATACATTCATACATTCTAGATTATATGCGTTGTACTGTACCTAGAACCTTTATTAGACTATGGCTATTCACTTTGTATCCTTACAATCGGTCCACTTGGTGCAGCAGGTCAGAATTCCGAAAGCTGTTGTTGTGTTACCGCTACAATTTCATTAAAATAATTTAACCTTAAGGAGCTGGTCGGAGCAGAATTGTGGAATGTTGTAAAATGGTGCACCGTGCTGTACAACCCTGATCTACGATATGGCTTTTTGATTGAAACCAATATATATTTAGGGAGCACAAAAACATCTTATTTCCTGCGTTAGAAATTATTGCCCTGCCCTTTTCATCTACATGTAGACAAACATGAATGCACTTCATCAGAACGTAACGTAATGTACAGGTTGTACGTAACGAATGTAAGAGGTCGATTCGTTGCTCTCATGATACAATGGAAACTATGGTACTACATCTTGTGGAATCGGTAATACTTTTATTTTATCAAAATTAATTTAGCAGAGCTATAGACGTCCGCTTAAAGGATTTAATTAGAATTCTTCAATCTTTAACATAGTATCGCATAGATGTTCGGGAATGTCAAAAAGCGTGGAAAACAATTGGGAGTATTTGAGAGAAATAAAGCGAAATATAGTTACCAAATGTGTGTAGTGCAAGTGTAATTTAATGGTTCCCGAATGGTATGAAAGTTTTAGAAGTATATTAAGCATTAATTCTTGCATTTCCCTCATAATTTAAATATATTTGGATTAGGTATTAAATCACATAATAATACATTAAACGCTGTGGTAAATAAGCATCTTGGTCCTATAAGCTCAATTTATGGTCATTCAAACTTAATTCCTACTGTATGTAAAGTAACCTGTCTTTTTCAGTTTAATTATTGTTTCATGTTTCTTGCGCTACTGTAACCCTTTATTACAGCTACACAATGTACGGTTTGCAGTATTAGGTTGAAGACGTCATAATATATAACTTGTAACTGTTTGGCATTCATGTTACAAAGGTGTCCTACAATCTTTTTTGTATTTTTTGTGTTTTATTTTGTTTTTTTTTTTTTTTTTTTTTTTTTTTCTTTTTTTTTGGGGGGGGGGGGGTCTTTTAAAATGTAATGAGAAAAAATGTAAATGCCGTACCTTTAAGCTGTTTTGAGTAAGGTGTCATGAATAAAGACAGTAGACATTAACAGCAGGAAATTTGTTTTAGAAATGTCCATACATTTTTTATTTAAGTGGTATATAAGTATATAATTATGTTATAGTAATTCTGTGACAAAATTTAGGACAGGAATTTCGCCCAGCAGCTATATGTATGTGTGTGATTAAACAATACCAATTATTAAACAGAGATTGTCTGGTTATGTATCTTTTAGAACACATGGTCTGCTTTGTAACACGAATTTAGGTTAAATATGATTTCATCCTTATCTTATAGATTTCA